CACCATTTATCAAAGAGGCAGTCTTTTCCACAGTGTATGTTCTTGGTGTCTTTGTTGAAGATCAGCTGGCTGTGGGTATATGGGCTGATTTCTGGGTTCTCTATTCTGTTCCATTGGTCTGTGTGTCTGTTTTTATGCCACCACCATGCTGTTTTTGTTACTATAGCTTTGTACTATATATTGAAGTCAGGTAGTGTACTGTCTCCAGCTTTATTCTTTTTGTTTAGGATTGCTCTGGCTACTCAAGGTCTTTTGTTGTTCCATATGAATGTTAGGATTGTTTTTCCCATTTCTGTGAAGAATGTCACATCAGTATTTTGATGGGGATTGCACTGAATCTGTAGACCACTTTGGGTAGTATGGACACTTTCATAATGTTATTTCTTCCAATCCAAGAGCATGGAATATCTTTCCATCTTCTAGTGTCCTCTTTAATTTCTTTCAATAGTGATTTGTAGTTCTTTTCATAGAGATCTTTCACATCCTTGGTTAACTTTATTCCTAGGTATCTTATTTTTTTGGTGACTATTGTAAATGGGATAGTTTTCTTGATTTCTTTTTCTGCTAGTTCATTGTTGGAGTATAAAATGCTACTGATTTTTGCATGTTGATTTTGTATCCTGCAACTTTGCTGAAATCATTTATCAATTCTAAGAGTTTTTTGTAGAGTCTTTAGGCTTCTCTCTCTATAGGATCATGTCACCTGCAAACAGGGACAATTTGACTTTGTCTTTTCCAATCTGGATGCCCTTTATTTCTTCCTCTTCCCTGATTGCTCTGGTAGTACTTTCAAATAAATAGGAGTGGCAAGAGTTGGCATCCTTGTCTTGTTCCTGTTCTTAAGGGAAAAGATTTCAACTTGTCCCCTTTCAGGATGACATTGGTAGTGGGTTTGTTATCTATGGCTTTAATTGTGTCAAGATACTTTTCTTCCCTACCTAATTTGCTGAGGGTCTTTATCATGAAGGGATGTTGAATTTTGTCAAATGCTTTTTCTGCATCTGTTGAGATAATCATATGGTTTATCTTTGATTTTGTTAATGTGGTGTATCACATTTATTGACTTGTGTATATTAAACCATCCTTGCATCCCTCGGATGAATCCCACTTGATCATGGGTATAACTTTTTGGATGTGTTGCTGTATTCTGTTTGCTAATATTTTACTGAGGATTTTTACATCTCTATTCATCAAAGATATTGGCCTGTAGTTTCCTTTTTTGGTTGTATCTTTGCCTGGTTTTGGTATTAGAGTTATGTTTGCCTCATAGAATGAGTTTGGGAGAATAGCCTCTGTTTCAATTTTCTGGAATAGTTTGAAGAGAATTGGTATTAATTCTTCTTTAAAGGTTTGGTAGAATTGGCAGTAAAGCCATCCAGTCCTGGGCTCTTCTTTGTTGTGAGACTGCTGATTACAGCTTCAATCTCTTTGCTTGTTGTTGGTCTATTCAGGTTTTCTATGTCTTCTTGGTTCAGTCTTAGTAGTTTGTATGTGTCCAGAAATTTGTCAATCCAGGTTTTCAAATTTGTTGGCATACTGTTGTTTATAATAGTCTCTAATGATTCTTTGTATTTCTGTGGTAATAGTTGTAATGTCTCTGTTTTTTTTTGGTGGCTGGCCAGTCCGGGGAACTGAACCCTTGACTTTGGTGTTAAAACATTTCTAATTTTTGTTATTTGTGTCTTCTCTCCTATTTTTTAGTTAGCCTAGTTAATGGTTTGTCTATTTTGTTTATCTTCTCAAAAAACCAACTTTTTGTTTCATGGATCTTTTGTATTGTTCTTTGGGTTTCTACTTCATTTAGTTCTGCTCTGATCTTAATTATTTCTTTCCATCTACTAACTTTGGGGTTGGATTGTTCTTGTTTTTCTAGTTCTTTGAAGTGTAGCATAAGGTTGTTTATTTGCCATCTTTCTATTCTTCTGATGTATGCATTTATTGTGGTAAACTTCCCTCTTAGCACTGTTTTTGCAGTGTCCCACAGGTTTTGGTGTAATGTGTCATTATTTTCATTATTTTCGAAATTTTTTGATTTCCTGTTTAATTTCTTGTTGGACCCATATGTAACTCAGAAGAATGTTGTTTAATTTCCATGTATTTGTATAGTTTCCAGAGTTTCATTTATTATTGATTTCTAGTTTTAATCCACTGTGGTTTGAAAAAATACATGAAATAATTTGTTTTTAAAAATTTGTTGGGCCGGCCCGGTGGCGCACTGGAGAGTGCGCCGCTTGGGAGCGCGGCGGCACTCCC